CCCTCGGCCCGGCCCGGCGCTCACCAGCTCGGGCACTCGAACAGCGACCCACCGCCGCCGCCCGAATTCGCGTTCGCAGCCATCTTGCGTCTGCCCCATTCAGCGCGCTGGGGCAGGCTGGGAAACAGGCGGACCACCGCCGCCGGGCGCCATCCCAGGATGCATCGCGCGGCGCGTCAGAGCGAGAGCGCGGTCCGGCGGCGGGGGGCAATGCGCATGCGTGGGTGCCGTGCGAGGGGCGGGGCAGTCTGCCATGTTATGTCACGGCGCGTCACACCAGAGATGCGCGCGGGGTTTGAAGAGGCTGTGTGTTTGGAGGCTGCTGCGGGGGCGGGGAGAGGCGGGAAGTGGTAGGAGCAAGACTAGAAAGACGAGCCGCTCAGCACGTGGGTGAACGGGACTCGCCTCCCCTGCCTTCTGCAGCGGTGCCGAAAACAACCTGCAGGCTGGGCCCGTGAGACGTTGGGGGCAGAGGAGCCGCGAGGGGCGCTTCCCCACTGTGCCCCTAAGGGCCAAGCAAAATGCCTTTGCTGTCAGGCTCTGCGCCTCCACCTGCCCCTGTGCCACGGTCTTTGGGTTGCAGTGTTCAAGCTAAGTCCGGACTTGTGAAAAGCCTTTGACAAGGTCATTGAATCTCAGAAAATGACAGCTGCGAGGGACCTCAGGTGGTCACATCTCATCCAACCCCTGCTTGGAACAGGACCAGCCCCAACTAGATCGTCCCAGTCACTGGCTTTGAATTGCTGGGTTTTAAAAGCCTGCAAGGATGGAGATTTCACAGCCTCTGTGGGTAACCTGTTTTCGTGCTTTACTACCATGCCAGTGAGCAAGTTTTCCCTAATATCTAACCTCAGCTTCCCTTGCTGCAACTTGGGACCATTGCTCCTTGTTCTGTCAATTGCCACCACTGAGAACAGTCCAGCTCCATTCTCTTTGGACCCACCCTGCAGGTAGCTGAAGGCTGCTATTAAATCCTTCAGTCTTATTTTCTCTACACTAAATAAGCCCAGTTCTCTCAGCCTCTCAAGTTGTGGTCCCCAGCCCTATAGCCATCTTTGTTGCCCTTTGCTGGATTTTCAGATTTGTCCTAAATGCTTCCTGTTGAGGGGCTGGGGGCCAAAACCTGACACAGTACAGATGTGGCCTCAACTAATGCTGAATAGAGGGGAATCATTTCCCTGGATGTGGCAACGCTCCTACCAATGCAGCCCAATATACTGTTGTTCTTCTTTGCAACAAGCAGTTCACAACAAAGGCTCATATTTAGCTTATTGTCCACTGCAACCCCTAGGTCTTTTTCTGCTGAGCTGCTGCTTGGCCAGCCTGTACCAGTGCAAGGCATTGTTCTGTCCTAAGTGCAAGGTTTTGCACTTGTCCTTAGTGAAACTCATGAGATTGCTTTTGGTCCAATCCTCCAATTTGTCTAGGTCTTTCTGAATCCTAGCTCTACCCTCAAGTGTACCTGCTACTCTGGAGGCTAGGGTTAGGATTTAGGGAGACCTAGATCCATCAGAAGCCCTTAATGAAGTTAGGATTACAGGGATCACAGGATTACAGTGAATAGCCACTCCTGGATTAGAAATCTGCTTAAAGATAGCAAAAAGTGACTATAAATGGTCAGTTTTCAGGATGGAAAGAAGCAAACGGGGTCCTCCAGGGATCTGTGTTGGGACCAGTGCTGTTTAACCTATTGACAAATGATCTGGAAAAGGGGGCAGGTAGCCAGGTGGCCAGGTTTGTTGATGACACAAAATTATTCTAACTGGTAAAGACCAAAGTGGACTGTGAGGTACTATGGAAGGTTCTAGCATGACTGAGCAAAGAGACAACTGAATGGCAGGTGAGATTCAATGTAGAGAAGTGTGAAGTGATGCACCTGGGCAAAATTAACCCAAACTGCACCTACACTATAATGGTCTCTACATTACTTGTTACCACATAGGAAAGTCTGGGAGTCAGTATAGACAGTTCACTAAAAACAGCTCGGTGCTCAGCAACCAACCAAAAAGTTAAAATGTTTGGGATGGTTAAGAATGGAGTTGAAAACAAAATGGAAAGTATTATCGTGTCCTTCTATAAATATCCATGATGTGTCCACACCTTGGATGCAGTGCACAATTCTGGTCCACACAACTCAAAAAGGATTCAGAAGGACTAGAGAAAATAGAAAGAAGGACAGCAAAGGGGATTAGTGGTGTGGAGGGACTTCCACCTGAGGAGAGACTAAAGAGGCTAGGCCTATTCAGTTTAGGAAAGAGGGGGGACATGATAAACGTTTACAAAATACTAAATGGCAAGGAGAAAATAAATAGGGCTTTGTTATTTACTGTTTCTCATAAGAACTATGGGTCACAAAATGAAACTAGCAGGTGGTAAATTTAAAGCTAACCAAGTTTTTTTTCACACAATTTGCAATAGAAATGTGGAACTCATTGCCACCGGATGCTGTGGAAACTGAGTTTAGCCAGATTCAAAAAAGGGATTGGACAAATTCTTGGAGGAAAGGGACATTCGTAGCTATTGAGCATGGCAGTTAGGGATACAGCCTCTGAACCAGCACTTTCTAGATCTTCAATGCTAGAGGCTGCAAGCAAGAGGAACAGTGGGAAAAAACTTTGATCCTACCCAGTTCACTTTCCCATTCAGCATCCACTCTTTGCTCAGGAAAAGTGGGAGCTGGGCAGAGGTGCGAGGCAGTGGGCGAGCAGTGGCAGCCTCGTCCCAAGCCCGAGCAGGGAAGGAGGTGCCTGTGGGCAGCACAGAAGAAGTCCTGGGGCATGGGGGGATGTTGCGAGGCACAAAGCTCACCTGCCCTTGCCCTTGCCCTTGTCCTTGCCCTTGCCCAGCAAAGAGGTGCACAGACGGCAGCCAGGTGGCAGCATGGGCGGGTGCACCTCCAGCGTGCTGGATGAGAGTAAGTACAGGAAGGGATTGGTATCTTCAAATGTTCAGCCTATTTTATTTAAATTTTATATATATTTATTTAATAAATATAAAAAGTAAAATCTGTTTGTTTTTGTTAGAAATTCATCCATCATTTCTGACAGGCAATTGAGTCCCTGAATGAGTCAAGGGAGCCTGCAGACATTGACTGGTGAAACTGTGACCAGAGGAGAGACAGGAAGACAGCCTCACACTTGCCTGGGTTCCCCTGGGTGCCTCCTTCTTGGTTTTATAGATGGCCAGTTTGGCTAGAGCCAGGATGAGGTTGACCAGGACATGTTGGGGCTTGATGGAGCCACGGACGGGAAGTGCACAACAAAAAAGGTGCAGGGAGAAGTGCAGTCAGAACCACAGCAGGAGGTTTTGGAAGAGGCAGAAGGGGGCCTGCGATCTGGTGTACTTGAGGTAGACATGTACCAGGGTCCTCCTCTGTTGGCAAAAGGGCCAGATGTTAGGAGTGCCTGTAAAGCACACCAGATACATGCCTGTGGTGATGGCTCCATGCAGGAGCCACTAGCTGAGGCCCCTGTTGGCTCGTAGGATCAAGATGGAATAGAGACTTGTCTACTAGGGACTCTCCTCCCTGGCCTCGCCTTGGGTGTCCCACCACTTGTTGCTGGGCAGGACACAAGGATCAGATGATGGACTGTGCGGAGCATGAACTGGTGGCAGCGGGCCATTCAGAGGCAGACTGGCTTGAAATCCCCCAGCTTGCTGAGACAGTGGGGTAGGGAGTGCCATGGGGCCTGCTGAGGCAGCAACTTCATGGCCAGGGATCCTGGTTTTCTCTGATAAAAAAAAATCACAAATTCTGTGATTAAAATTAAACTCCACTATGTATATAAGTATTAGTCGAACACAATGTTTTATTGATATACTTACAATTTTAAAGCAATTTGGAAGCCTACCAGTGCCTCAATCACTATAATAAAATAAATTCTAAATGCCTATAAATTTTGGAGTTGGATTTGAGTTTTTTTGTCATAGAAAATCAGAGCTTCCCCTGCCCCCTTTGCTCACCAGGACATGAGTCCAAGTCCCTTCCATCCCACCCTCAGAGGGGACCTCCAACTGCCAGGGCTGCAGGGTCAGGGACCTGGATCTGCAGTGCCCTGCCCCTCCCAGCAGTGCCCAATCCCTGGCTGCCACCCTTGGGAGGTGGTGGTGGCTGCTGCAGCCCAAGTGGGGAGCAGAACGCAGAGCCCAGCTCCCCTTCTTGTCCCGGGGGCACAGCTGGAGCGGAGCCTTGGGTGGGGGGGCAGCTGTAGGCTTGGGCTTGGCCACAGGGGGACCCCAGGTGCCCCCCCAGACCCAGAAGGCACCAGTTGCCTAGCTGGGGGGTGAGGGGTGGCTCCCCCACAAGCTCTGCGGCAGACCTGGAAGCGGACCGGAAGTACTGCTGGTCCAGTTCTAAGTCTGCCACTGAGTGCATGAGAGACCACCCCCTGTGCTTCCATGGGATGCTCCATCTGCCCCACCATCTCAACATTCATGAGCTGCGCCTGGTACCTTGAGGTACATAGAAAAAACGTATGCATCTATGGCCGAATCGTCAAATTTCTCCACATCTTTCTGAATTGAATCAGGCTTCTGATTCGATTCGGAGAGATTAATGGGTCTCCAGATTTGATTCAGATTTGGAGATTTGGCCGCTGAATTGGGCCAGATCTCTGAATTGAATCAGCAACCGAAGCTTCGCACATCCCTAATGCCTATATCCCCCTGAGACTGTGTGCAGCTGCAGGGAACCAACCCTGCCCCACTGCCTACTGGATGAGCCTCCTGTTCCTTGCTGGAGCCCTGCAGCTATGCATGGCAGCCCTGGACCCCAAGCCCCTTGCACTTCCTGGTTGGGCAGCATCCCCAGCCCCAGCTATGCCCAACTTCCTCCCTCCCTCTTGGGGCCTCAATTCTCCTCTCCCCTCTCTGCCATGAGACCTACCTGCAGAGAGCTGCTGTCCAGGCTGCCTGGTGGCCATATGCATGTACATGCTTATGGTCCCCCTGCCTAATCACCCTCCTCCCACTCCCCCCCAGCTCCTTGCAGGCTGAAACTGCCAGCCTGCAAAAAGCTCTGCAAAAGTGGAAAATCCGTGTGTTTCTCTGTTAAAAATGGGAAATCTGCATTTTCTCAGGGAAAAGGGAAAATCTGTGGGTTTTTTCTGGTATAGTCCAGGAAACCTCCAATATGAGCGATGTTTGCCAACACTACTACCTGGGTGTTTTTTTTG